ATTCTGGTATGATTTTCCTTACAATGAATCATTGTATTAGTAGTAGTAATAGTAGCAGCATAGCAGCAGCAGCAGTAGTAGTAGTAGTAGTAGTAGTAGTAGTAGTAGAAGCAGCAGCAGTAGTAGTAGTAATAGTAGAAGTAGTAGTAGTAGTAGTAGTAGTAGTAGTAGTAGTAGTAGTAGTAGTAGTAGTAGTAATAGTAGTAGTAACAACAACAGCAGTAGTAGTAGTAGAAGTAGTAGAAACAGCAGCAGTAGTAGTAGTAATAGTAGTAGTAGCAACAGCAGCATTAGTAGTAGTAGAAGCAGCAGCAGCAGCAGTAGTAGTAGTAGTAGCGACAAAAGCCTAACGCAACTTAATGAATATTGACAAATGAATTAACTCGTACAGAAAGGTGTTTCGAGTGCACTTGTTCCAAACCTGGCATGCTACTGAGACTGGTTATGTCAGATGTGATCTGGGAAAAAGATTCTATAAATAACTCTCGTCAACATTACGTAATGGTGACGTCAATAGTATCGCCAGTACTAAAGTCAACAGTCAATTTAGTAATAGTAGTAGTAGTAACAGTAGTAGTAGTATTAGTAGTAGTAGTAGTAGTAGTAGTAGTAGCAGTAGTAATAGTAGTAGTGGTAGTAGTAGTAGTAGTAGTAGTAGTAGTATTAGCAATAGTAGTAGTAGTAGTAGTATTAGTAGTAGTAGTGGTAGTAGTAGCAGTAGTAGTAGTAGTAATAGTAGTAATACTAGTAGTAGTAGTAGTAGTAGTAGCAGCAGCAATAGTAGCAGTAGTAGTAGTAATGTTTAATTTCATTCATGCCTGGTAACTCTTGCACTAGTTTCAAATCCCGAATTTCTTAACTAAGTTCGCTTTTGAAAGTCCAAAAATTCCAAAAATTCGTAATGGCTGTGTACTGCCTCTTATAAACTGTACTCTACTAATTTTGGCAAATTTGTATATATATGGTCTTTGGTTTCACGATCAAATTTTCCTTTGTAATATTGATGTAAATACAATTAGAAACAGCAGCATAGAAGCTTGTATAAGTAAGTAAGTTTCCAAAAAAGCAAATAATACCAATATTACAATGCATACTGAACTATGTAGAAATGCACTGCTTCATTAAAATTCATAATTCATCATCAATTCACGTGATTTCCGTTTTTAATTTTGTCTGCCATTCATTGATCCATTTGAAAAAAAGTTTTTTTTTGGATAAACAAACAAACAAACAAACACACACACACGTACGCACACACACACGTACGCTTGAACATTCATGTATATTAATATATGTGTATATATAACAGATATATGTACACATATATATATATACATTCATAATATAGATAATATATACATATGTATATATATACAATCAATGTTGTTGTTTTGTATACTGGTTTCTAAAGCAACTCACCGCCCGACGTATCGATCTGTATTGTTTCTTACTCTAGGTATTTCAAGCCTATCATGGCTTGGTGTGTGTTTGTGGGTATTTGTGTGTGTGTGCATTTGTTTTTTTTTGGTGAGCCACATTTGTTATATTAAAAATTGAAAGTGAACCGCTTGAAAAATGTTCTTACCAGTCCCAATTGGCGCAATGCAAGTTAGCCTTCATCGTCAGAATAGGAGCGCTGTTGAAATCTGTGTATGTTCATATTCCTTTGTGTGTGTGTATATGTTGCTGGCACACACACACACCACACACACACACACACACAAACATACAAACACACAAACATACAAACACAAAAACATGTTTGTATAAATATATACAAACGAGTTTGCATTAAATGTTTCTATTTTTTCGCATAGCCATTATCAGGCTCTCCTATTGTATCAGGTTATTGAACATCATGGCGTGCTTGCTGCATAGAACATTGTCATATTCACAGACATTCACAGACACACACACTCTATCTTTCTTTCTCTATTTATATCTCTCTTTCTCTTTCTTTCTGCATTGAGAGAGAGAGAGAGAGAGAGAGAGATTTATATACTAACATATAAACATAAACAAACATCAATTACTATTAGCTGAAAGCTTACAAAATTCAAACTCTTTCTTTCTCTCTTTCTCTCTCTCTCTCTCTATATATATATAGAGAGAGAGAGAGAGAAAGAGAGAAAGAGAGAAAGAGAGAGTCATCATTCATTAAATTATTAAATAGTTTCTAGGCATAAACTTAACCGTAATGTCTTTCTTGACATATGATATTTTTTGATATTATGCAATGTGTGCGTGTGTGTATGTATGTGCGTGTGCGTGTGTGTGTCCGTGTGTGTTTTTGCGTGCGTGTTTATACGTGTATGTATGTATATATCATGTAAAAATTGTGTGAACCAACCGCATTTATCTTTGTATATTGTATGTTTAAGAATATATTTACAATAAAAATCTGTATTAACATTATCATGATGTATACAAGTATCTATATATCTACACACACACACTCACTCACACACGTTTATATATATATACATGTGTGAAAAGAGAGAGAGAGAGAGAAAGAGTGAGAAAGAGAGAGGTTTAATGAGCATGTATAATTCAGGGTTTTGCTATACGTATGCATCGCAATGTCGTCATTTGGATATTTGAAATGATGAGGCGCTAACTTTTTATATTTTAGTGGTAATAAAATATTTTTGGTTTACTATTTATAATAAGTTATGAATTAGTTTATTAATTGGTTTTGTTTGGTGTCGCTGGTCGAGTTGTTACTGCTGCTTTTAAAGGTAGGTTTTTATTAATTACTCTTATTTATTATGGTTATTGTTGTTATAAATATTCTTTTGTTACTATAATTATAATGTAATTTTTTAGAAGATATTCTAAGCATCGTATTTCAAATTAATTCAGATAAGTCGTCCCTTAACACTTACTCGCCAAGCAATTTGAGTTCTGCTAGCTAGCTTGATTCGTTCATTAAACTGTGTTAATTTTAATTCATCCTTCTAAATTAAATCCTATAAAATGTGTTGAGAATAATAATCAATCATTGGAATGATGGAATACGTCATCGC